AGGAGTATATCTTTCAAAAAAAAAACACACACACACACACACACACACACACACACACACACACACACTTTTAGTAGCTTTAACTAAAGAAGTCCTATTATAGTTGTTCTTTGGATTAAAATATACTAAGCTAAACAAATGCTAAAGTACTAGTATCCTCTGGGCGTTATGACAGAAGCAAGCTTTGAAATAGTATGCTTTTCTGAATAAATTCTAGACTGAAATTTAAATTTAAGTGACTTTTTCATAAGCTTCAGCAAAAAAAAAAAAAAAAAATTGATTGTCATAATTCTCTTTTACAAAGCAATTTTTCATTCTTGAGACCAACATATCCCATTCCCCCACAGGGCCATTTTGGGCCTCTTATTTGATGTCATTGACTATTCAGAGTCAATAGCCCTCAAAACATATACCTTAATTTTAGAAAAATGGACACTTTCTTCAAAAATGCCATTATCTGGTAACACTGTCATTATTTAGCAAAATATTTATTAGTACCAAAGGTATACATTTCAGGTTTCTCTGCTCCAAGAAATTAAGAAGGTGGGAACCATGAATAATTATACTGGTGGCTGCAGTACTAATACCAGCCAAAAAAGAGAATGCTATCAAACACAGGATCATTAAGGGAAAATTAAAATTTGCAGTTATTCTGCGGGCACTCAGCCATGGGAAGAGCCTCTCCGTGTCCGACCTCAGGGTTTTCTGCAGGTGCGAAGTCAAGTAAGATAAGATAGGGGTGGAAAGCAATCTAGGAACCAGACATAAATGCTTTAGGGGAATCACCATAGGTTTCTCTGGGTAGCATGATTAAATTAACCACAAACGCAAGCTTGTCAAGCCCTAAAACCAGCAGCAGCTCATCCAAAACTAATGAAAAGGGGGCCAGAGCCAGGATAGGATGAAATGAGTTGCCTGGAATTAAACTGCCATGGCTCATTTTTAGTTTTAAAATGTGTTGCTTGAAAAGATACTGAAGAAAGAGCATGAACACAGATGGTGAAGAGACTGCCGTTTGTAGCATAGTAGCAAAAGGGGAAAAAAAACACTTTCAAGTTTTGTTTTTAAAAATACTTTTTGTTCTGTCACACACACAAGATATTTTACAGTCGATTCACATGCAAAAGGAAGCTTTTTGTTTATGTCCAGAACCAGGCCTATATATTCTACCACTGGTGAATAGAACAAAATGAATATTCTGGAAACGTTTCATTTATGATCACAAAGACTGAGCCAAATTTTCCTAGTCATCTGACAGATGTTTCCAAGAGCTGACAATGATTATCTGAATTATGGTATTTCCCTAGATCAATAGCAATTCTTATAAAGGTTTCGCTTTTCGGTATTTGCACAAAACTATGTAAATTATAAATGGAAACTTAACTACTGGTTTTAAACTGAAATCTAAATATAGCATCATGTCATCCAATTTATCCACATCAGCACCATTTCTTGCCTTTGGACAGACAGTTCGTTTCTGCCAACCAGGGAAGTCTCACGACAGTTAACATCATAACAGGATGCCTCTCTCTACCATCCTATTTCCAATGCCGGAAAATGGGGCTAAATTCCAAGGTAGTGACAGTTAAATATTCATGATAGTCAAATATTCATGCTGTACCACACTACAGTAAATCTGGATATATAAAATTCTAAGATTTGTTATAAAATAAAGATTAAATATAAGGAACAACAAAACTAGATTCATGTATGGGAAAACTTTCCCATTTAGTGGAATTTTCCACCTGGGTCTTTGATATTCATTAGCTACATTCAAGGGTAAAGCTAGCAGGCCAAAAAAATGAACAATCAAACTGAATAAAACATACAGTATAATATGCACAGATTAAGACTCTTTAAGGTTTATAAAACTGTAGCCAGGGCACAGGATAAAAACATTTAAAACTGGGTACATACAGTTCTCGGGTGATTGATCCCCACGACCCCAGGCACAAGGGACACCTCAATCCTTTCCTCCCATTTTACAGTGATATCAATAAAGGATCAGCAATTATTTTCACCCTTATAAACGAAGGGGAAAAATAGCTTTTCTTTATTTATAGCACCATAAGATTCAACTTTTCCTCATGTCTATTACAGAGATGTATTCAAGGCTTTCACCTAAGCACGAAATGATTTTTGAACAATTTATCACTTTAATAAGAGCAACTCTTAACATATGTTAATATCTATGTGATGGTATTTTAGAAAGACAAATTCACCCATAAAGGAGGATAAATGATCAAAGTGCCCATCTCAAAAACTTTAGCAAGCACATAGTGCTCAGATGTAATGTTTATGTATGAGTGTGTATCTGTGTAAAATCCTTCACCTAAATCACAAAGAGGGAAAGCAGGGATATTTTGATAAACCATACCTGAGTTTCTCCTCACACAAGCGAGAGAGAAACATCCCCAAAGCAAGGCCCATGTGGATTTGCACGGCTTGAGACTCATCAGCACTTGGTTTCCCAGGTAACCTGGCAGTCAGCATGTTCAGGATTTCCTCAACCTTCTCTTTGCAAGAGGTAATGAAAACTGGCACAAGGAGAGACAAAGCCGTGGCAGCCGCAGAACGGGCGATGGCACTAGCTGTGTTTTCACCAGAATAGGATTTCTGGGACATGCCAAAGAAAGAAAACAGGGGGTTGGCCTTTTGTTTAAAACATGAAGGAAATATATCTATCACAAAAACAATACGAGCTTCTCTTAGCTCCACCCCCACCAAACAAAAAAAATAATTTAAAAAAATCTGTTTCTGTGTTCATCTACGGGTTACATTTTCACTCTTACTGAAACAATTTGCTATTAAACAATCAGTTAACAAATAATATCTTTTTAAATTGAAAAAAAATTATAAGTGTCTCCTTAAAAAGGATGTGAATTCTCTCACCAGAAAGCCTGAAATCATTTCAGTGTTTTGAAAGCCCACATGTATATATAATGAAAAACATAAAGTGAAGCTATCTAAGCTTGGAGAAACCACCAAGCCACATTATAAATGTCCAGAAAGCCAGGAGTTTTCCGAGAGTGAAAGAAAAATGGGAGGTGGGGCAGTTTAAGTTCAGTATTGAAGGGTAAGTATAAATTTAGCACAGGGATCTACTGGCAGATCTCCCAAAATTTTTCGTGGGAACATTTCCCAGTAGATGGATTATTTCCTACAGGGGGTTAATTCCTTTTAATTAAAAAGGAAGTTGAATCCTAAAAGCCTCTGGTTACAAAGCAATAACCAGCTATTGAAAATGAAATGGAGAGCTCTATATGTTCCTTCCTATATGTAATTATGGGAAAAGAAATGAGTAACAGCCCTAATAAAATGACAGGGCAGCCGAATATGAACAGCTTCTACAAGAACCCCACGTTAGAGAGAGCTCCACCAGGTATTATATACATTTATAAACGTCTCAAGTGGGGAAGAAAGTCCTTTTATCATTTCTCACTATTACCCGCTTCAAATTTTCAGACACACTATAAAGGCCATGCTGTCCCTTGCAGTCAAAGCACATTAAAAAGTGTGTTTAATTCTATACTCATTTGCTCTCTAAGTTTTAGTACTTTGATAGAAATCAAACATGTGCTAAGGTATTCTTTAAGTTAATGTAACCCTATTGCAATGACAATACTACTCAAAATTACCCAGCTGCTGAGACACTGGAAATAAAGGAAGTGACTTTTGAAATAAGGCTTTGAAAAAAGTATAATAATGCGAAAATCACAATGGTAAGAGGCAATCCTGAGCTGGCTAGTGAGGAGATTATTTTTACTGGTTTGCAAGAACTAAGCAGCATTATTAGAAATCTCATACAATATCCTGTCCTGCTGTATATCTGAACCGGATAGCTATTGCAAGGACCTCCATATAAGCTAACAAGTTTTTCACCCATCATTAAAGAACACTTCTGACAGAAAACAAATCATCATAAAGAAATTACTTATGTGAGAACAATCAACCTTCCAATTTAATTCCACATTATCTAGGAAGTCATTTTTTTTTGTCCTCAAGTATAGTTAAAAATCTAGTTCCAGACCCTAAGCCCCAGATGAATACATACCAGGTCCTCTCAAGGGCAGGAGGACAGAGGCACAGAAAGAAGACCTAAGGCAATGGAGTTTCAGACTAAATTCATGATCTTAGCAACTGTTCAGGACCTGTGCTATATTTTTATTCAAATCAACTATAATCCGCTGCCACTCAGCTGATTGTCCCATGATCACTGTAATTCTCTAAGCAATGGACAGTGATAAGGCAGAACCAAAATATTCCTAGGCGGACACAGAAGTAAAGCATTCACTACACAGCCAATAAAGGGAAAATGAAGTCTAAACAAAAATAGTGTGTTTTCAGTTTGCTTCAAATCTTAAGATATATGCATGAAGAAAGATGACTAACAGGTGCTTTTTATGATCAACAATATCATTCTGTATTTATATAGTACTTTGTGGTTTTCAAAAGATTTTTCTATAAATTATATAATTTGATCCTCACAATCTTGTATAAAGTTGGCAAAGCATTAGTTTTTACTTAATTTTACAGATAAGGAAAATAAGATGATGGATTAAGTGTCAGGTCAACTGTCACAAAACTAATAAGGGATGAAGCAAGGGCTACAATCACTACAGATAATATTGTTCAATCATTTCATTTTATATAAATAGGGAAACAAAGGTCCTGAGCAATTAAGTGAGCCACCCATTGCACATACCCTGAAATGGGGAAAAAAAAAAACAGAAAACCCCCCCAACAAACTATGACTAGAAACTCAGGATCCCCCTATCTTCAGCCAATGTTTATTTTACGACAACCATAGCTCTGGACTGTGACTACATATTAGAATAATCTACAAAGCTTCTAAAATACTGATATCTAGAGCCCAATCCTGAGCAATTAAATCAGAGGTGAGGCCTATAGATCAGTATTTTTTTCTATTATATGTTTAAAGTTCCCCAGGTGATTCTAATGTACAGCTAAGGCTGAGAATCATTACAGGATATCATGAATTTCATGTGAACAATTGATATGAGAAGAGTCAACCCTTGAGTTTTCTAATCATTTTTTATTTCTCAGACTTACATAATAAAACCAGGAGAAAAGCTGTCCTCTGGGTTGGTAATGGCTATCCACAATGACCAGGAGAGTGTCAAACACCATGGAAACCCACTCTTTCATTGAAAGGAAATTAGGCTGAACCTGCAGATAAAGAAAACAAAATGATAATGAAAAAAATTAAAAATCTACACATAATTTCTAGATTCAGGGACAACCCCCTTCTGTATTAAAGAATGAAGTGCTATTATTAAAAAGTAAACTTCACCTGCCAGGACTGAAGGACGTGGGTAGATATTTGACAAACACACATCCTCACCTGTGCTCCAAAAGAAATAAGATTTACCTTTTATACAAGACTTAGCAGAGGAGAGAAGACGGGGGCTGCAAAAACAAATGTATCCAAGAGCTCCTAAGAGCTGTGTTTAGTGAGGATAATGTGAAGGTTAAAGGGAGACATATACAGAGAAAGCAACTCCAAATTTCTCAATTCTCTGACTTGCCATTTCACAAAGGAGGCAGTTAAGCAGCCTACAAAATTTTGATCACCATCTCTAGCATTTCTGCTTACTATCATTATATATTTATCATTCAAGAGACATCACAACATTTGCCAAGCTAATTAGGCATGAAAACATAATTGATTTTCAGTTTGGAAAAGAAGAGGAAAGAGAATGCAAAAAAAAAAAAAAAAAAAAAAAAATTTAATTTTCTTCAAGCCAAGTGATAGAAACCCCATGTTTAATTGGGAAAGGAGGGGGGAAACAAAAGAAGGGGAGATGAATATAAATGTATTTGAAAATATTTTTCTAACGCAAATTTCAGAAATATCTTCAAACGTTACCTTACTAGATGAACAAACTTTCTCAGATTCCCTATATTAACTTAAATGTAAGGATCGGTTATTCCCAAAGCACAAGTTTGTCACACACAAAAAAGCAATTAATTCTTTGAGTAAATTACAACATAATTAGAAAAGAGCTTCATAAGCTAGAGACTGAGATTTGACTCTGATTAGAAATGATACCAAACATTTTTCCCCAGTCTGTTTAAAGCCAGGTTACACTGTCTTCCCATTCAACACCAGTCCTAGAAAAAGACG